GACACATTTAGCCAACGAAATATGTAAATACCCTCAAGAACTTAATTTTAACTACACCAAATTTGACAACTTTATAAATAATCTGCCATATTGAATAGCATTTTTTATAAAGATCATCCACGATGTGTTCACTCAATACAACAAACACCACCATCAACATTGTATATATCTGAATCTGTTTTCAATAAAACGCAAACTAAAAATAATTATATATTTTTTTAATATTCCTTAATACATTTCCCTATTTGTAAGAAATTCGACCAAAATATTACTTGGATTAAAATTTTTTATACTTAAATGAATCCTCGTTAATTTTATTTTGTTATCTGTATGAAGATAAAATAAATTTGAGAAAATAAGATTAATTAATCATAATTTTTATACCATAATTTGGTCATAACATAAATTAAATCAATTTAATTATAAACAAAATTATTTGTTAAATAACTTCCATTATGGACTTGAAGCACTAAATTATATAGTCATACCACAAACTGATATATCTGTTTATATTACTGATATAGTCAAGATGTACAAGTTTATTCGTACATACTAAAAACATTATTAAATAAAATTGTAATGAGTACAGAAATTATTAAATCTTGATGAGAATAGAAAAAGCAATCCAAAAGAAATGGTATTTAAATTATGAAACAAATGATTCTAAATATACTTGATAATAATCACAAAATAATGTTTAATTATACATTTTATTACACACGCATTTGACACTTCCATTGGTTTGTTACCCGACATTTATTAACGACGATAAAATTATGTGTAAATAAACGTGATATTAGGGATTTCAGCGGCATTTACTGAATAATTTGAAAATGACTGTATAATTAGTTGATTCCGTATAATCGGGACACCGGTTAATCGGTACAGCCGTTTGTTAGGAACAAATCCTAAAGAACGGAAACAAAACCGAGCAAATAACAAATGGAATAGGAATCTTCAGATAATTGGGACGTCCCGTTGTGTCCCATTAAGCGGAATCAACAGTATTGTTTATATACATTTATATAACACTATTCAAATAGATTTCTTAACGAGGATAATTGATTCCTATGGTTTGATCTCTGTATAATACATAGGTATTAAATATGCATACTAGTATATAAATTAGCGCCATAACAGTTTATTTTAGTTTTTATATGACATTAAAGCAATTACAGTTTATTTTAGTTTTTATATACATTAATCATGTATTACATATTTACGAATAGTTAACTTTATCAAATACAGATATTTGTTTCGTTATCTAATGATTATTGTTTAACAGAAATATAGTACAACTTTTTAATATATTTATAATTTATTAAAATTGCATAGTCAGTTGTCAGGCGGTAGGTGTTCGGCCAGGAAGCAAAACGCTTGCAACACAATGAAGCATATATGCAGGTAGTAGGAACATCAAATACTATGTTTTCTTTTTATATATTAATTTTGTTTTTCACTTCTTTTAATTTGATAT